ACTATCTCCCCTCGCTTGTTCCTTCTAATTTTTCTAGGACAACAAGCTAGTTAGAAATCCTTTATTTTTTGGGGACCAATCGCTCTTTTGATTTTGGAAAAAAATATCTTTATCAATATACTCTTTCTTCTACACATTTCTTGCTACCCCATAACATAATGGGGAATAGCTAATAATTAGGACTCATAACAAAAATCCTTAATCCATTCGTGGGAAAAACTTTTTCCACAGCAAGCACTAATCCTTTTTTAACGTATAACTAGATGTGGTAATCATTCCAATAAAAAATGAAAGCTCGTTGCTTTTTCTTTCCCTAGAATTCGAGCAGCTAAGCTCTATCCCTTTATTAATTCAACCCAACGGAATTCATTTGTTCCCAGCCAACAATTCAAAGAAAAAGATTGGTCGGATCCAATATGAATGAAAAATTTTTTGAATTCACCGTTGATACGACATGCTGCTTTTTCCATTCATTCCTTTCTGGATCAGTCGTGGTCTTACAAACCCTACCGATGGTATGGATGAACCAATTAGTTCATAGAAATGTGTAAAAAATGGAGTCGCACTTAAAAGCCGAGTACTCTACCATTGAGTTAGCAACCCTAATAAAATTACAAACAAGGATCTGTATATCCAATCGCAATAAAAAAAAGATGGAATTCTATAAATAATAGAATCAAATGTTACATATTACATTATATTACAATACAATGAAAAAAAGAAAAAATGAGAATCAAAAATGATAGACGACTTGTTTAGTACAGTACTGTAGTTATTTGTCTATTAATATAGTTTTAAATTAGTATTATTTTTTTCATATTTCTATTTCAAGAAAAAAAACTTCTTGTTTGTATCAAACAAAATCAAAATACAATGAATCCACCATTTGATGAAGTAAAAAACCTATGTGACATGAGTCAATCCATCCATTGATTCACGATCAGATTATATTTGTTTGATTCACGATCAGATTATATTTGTTTGATACACTGTTGTCAATATTAGTGTTGAAAAAAAGAATACAATCGAGAAAACAAATAAAAAAATATTTCTATTCTCATTTTTAAATAGAAAATATTTCTATTTTAATTCATTCTATTCCAAATCAAAAAGAAGAATGAACTAGAAAAAAAATAGATCAATCCGAAGATCTATAGGATTCATTCTAGATACTACAAGTATTTTTGTATTGTGTATTGTATTCGGCTCAATCCTTTTAGTAAAAGATTGGGCCGAGTTTAATGGAAATTAATAGAACGAATGATTATTACTGGATTACAAAGTATCCATTGCTGGGAATTCAAATTTGATTTCCTTCCAGACTTCACAAGCAGCAGCTAATTCAGGACTCCATTTGCAAGCTTCACGGATAATTGCATTACCCTCTCGCGAGCAAGATCACGTCCCTCATTCCGAGCTTGTACACATGCTTCCAGAGCTACTCGATTCGCTACGGCACCAGGTGCATTTCCCCAAGGTGGTCCTAAAGTTCCTCCACCGAATTGGAGTACAGAATCATCTCCAAATATCTCGGTCAGAGCAGGCATATGCCAAACGTGAATACCCCCTGAAGCAACAGGGATAACACCTGGTAAAGAAACCCAATCCTGAGTGAAATAAATACCGCGACTTCTATCTTTTTCAATATAATCATCACGTAGTAAATCAACAAAACCTAACGTAATCTCCCTCTCTCCTTCAAGTTTACCTACTACAGTACCAGCGTGAATATGATCTCCACCAGACATACGTAAGGCTTTAGCTAATACACGAAAGTGCATACCATGATTTTTTTGTCTATCGATAACTGCATGCATAGCACGGTGGATATGAAGAAGTAGACCATTATCGCGGCAATAGTGAGACAGGGTAGTATTTGCAGTGAATCCACCTGTTAAGTAGTCATGCATTACGATAGGAACGCCCAATTCTCTAGCAAATACAGCTCTTTTTAGCATTTCTTCACATGTACCCGCAGTAGCATTCAAATAATGTCCTTTGATTTCACCTGTTTCGGCCTGTGATTTATAAATTGCTTCGGCACAAAATAAGAAACGGTCTCTCCAACGCATAAATGGTTGGGAGTTCACATTTTCATCATCTTTGGTAAAATCAAGTCCCCCGCGGAGACATTCATAAACTGCTCTACCATAATTTCTTAGCGGATAACCCAATTTTGGTTTAATAGTACATCCCAATAGGGGACGTCCATACTTGTTCAATTTATCTCTCTCAACTTGGATTCCGTGAGGAGGACCTTGGAAAGTTTTAAACATAAGCATTAGGGATTCGCAATCTTCCAGACGTAGAGCGCGTAAAGCCTTGAACCCAAATACATTACCTACAATGGAGGTAAACATGTTAGTAACAGAACCTTCTTCAAAAAGGTCTAAGGGATAAGCTACATAAGCAATAAATTGATTATCTTCTCCAGGAACAGGCTCTATCTCGTAGCAGCGTCCTTTATAACGATCAAGGCTGGTAAGTCCATCGGTCCACACAGTTGTCCATGTACCAGTGGAAGATTCTGCAGCTACCGCTGCACCTGCTTCTTCAGCCGGAACTCCTGGTTGAGGAGTTACTCGGAATGCTGCCAAGATATCAGTATCTTTGGTTTGATATTCAGGAGTATAATAAGTCAATTTATAATCTTTAACACCAGCTTGGAACCCAACCTTTGCTTTAGTTTCTGTTTGTGGTGACATAAATCCCCCCCCTACAACGCATGAATTAAGAATTATAGCAAGAACAAGGTCTACTCGACATAACTTAGGAGTTAAGAAAACCTTTTTACAAATGATCCATCAACTAATATTATCAATTAATCCGAATGGGTCATTGTTCAATTTTACCATGATATTTGATTTGGCAAATACATCATTATTCTATACTGTTTCATATGTATGGCGCAAACCCAACCGTTTTTTTTGAGTCTCTTATTTTTTTTTTTTTGAATTTTGGAATCTCATTTTCTAATCTAAATAATAAAAAATATACTCTTGACCTTGACAGTGATATATGTTGTATATGTAAATCCTAGATGTCAAAATCGGCAGAATTTGCCCAATAAAAAGAAAAATTGGTAAAAAGAATCTGCATAGTATAAATCCTATGCTGAGGAAAGAAAAAAGAAGGACCAATGAGATAGAAAAACGGAATCATAAACAAACAAAGTTCAGGTTCGAATTACATAGATAATATAGATAGTATTGTCTATAATCTAGAATGATAAACAAATGAAAGACTTTCAAAAGATTTCATCCAATTAAAATTTTCATAATGACTGGGTTGACCTTGAAAATTCACTCATTGAAATTTAAAAACAATTGAATTGGTTGGATGGTACCAAGAAAATCGATTATTAACTTACATTTATTCTTTTATATATTATTAAATATTAAGAAAATTAAGAATATTAACCGATCAACTTGCTTTGGTATCAAACAGTTTTTTCTTAATTTCAATTTTTTTTTTTCAAAAAAATGGATATTTTTTAATATGACAATAACTCCTCCTCCTTCTGATACTGAGGTTTCTGCACTTGAAAAAAAAATCTGGGGCGTATCACGCAAATAATCGGTCCGGTACTCGATGTAGTTTTTCCACCAGGGAAGATGCCTTATATTTACAACGCTCTGATAGTTCAAGGTCGAGATACGGTTGGCCAACAAATTAACGTAACGTGTGAAGTACAGCAATTATTAGGAAATAATAGAATTAGAGCTGTAGCTATGAGTGCTACAGATGGTCTAAATAGAGGAATGGAAGTGATTGACACGGGAGTTGCTCTAAGTGTTCCAGTCGGTGGAGCAACCCTAGGTCGAATTTTCAACGTGCTTGGAGAGCCTATTGATAATTTGGGTCCTGTAGATACTCGCACAACATCTCCTATTCATAGATCTGCGCCTGCCTTTATACAGTTAGATTACACAATTATCCATTTTTGAAACAGGAATTAAAGTAGTCGATCTTTTAGCTCCTTATCGCCGTGGCGGAAAAATAGGACTTTTCGGTGGAGCTGGGGTAGGTAAAACAGTTCTCATTATGGAATTGATCAATAACATTGCCAAAGCTCATGGAGGTGTATCCGTATTTGGCGGAGTAGGTGAGCGTACTCGTGAGGGAAATGATCTTTATATGGAAATGAAAGAATCCGGAGTAATTAATGAAAAAAATATTGCGGAATCAAAAGTAGCTCTAGTCTACGGTCAAATGAATGAACCGCCCGGAGCTCGTATGAGAGTTGGTTTAACTGCCCTAACTATGGCAGAATATTTCCGAGATGTCAATGAGCAGGACGTCCTTCTATTTATCGACAATATCTTCCGTTTTGTCCAAGCCGGATCCGAAGTATCCGCCTATTGGGCCGAATGCCTTCCGCTGTGGGTTATCAACCCACCCTGGGTACTGAAATGGGTACTTTACAAGAAAGAATTACTTCTACCAAAGAAGGGTCTATAACTTCTATTCAAGCAGTTTATGTACCTGCAGACGATTTGACTGATCCTGCTCCTGCCACGACATTTGCACATTTGGATGCAACTACTGTACTATCAAGAGGATTAGCTGCCAAAGGTATCTATCCAGCTGTAGATCCTTTAGATTCAACGTCAACCATGCTCCAACCTCGCATCGTCGGTGAAGAACATTATGAAAACTGCGCAAAGAGTGAAACAAACGTTACAACGTTACAAAGAACTTCTGGACATTATAGCTATTCTTGGGTTGGACGAATTATCCGAAGAGGATCGCTTAACCGTAGCAAGAGCACGAAAAATTGAACGTTTCTTATCACAACCTTTTTTCGTAGCAGAAGTATTTACCGGTTCCCCAGGGAAATATGTTGGTCTAGCAGAAACAATTCGAGGATTTAAATTGATTCTTTCTGGAGAATTAGATAGTCTTCCTGAACAAGCCTTTTATTTGGTGGGTAATATCGATGAAGCTACTGCGAAGGCTACGAACTTAACTTAGAAATGGAGAACAAATTCAAGAAATGACTTTAAATCTTTGTGTACTGACCCCCAATCGAATTGTTTGGGATTCAGAAGTGAAAGAAATTATTTTATCTACTAATAGTGGACAAATTGGGGTATTTAAAAAATCAAGGCGCCTATTGCCCACATCTTTAGATATAGGTATTTTGAGAATACGCCTTAACGACCGATGGTTAACGATGGCTCTGATGGGCGGTTTTGCTAGAATAGGCAATAATGAGATCACTATTTTAGTAAATGATGCAGAAAGGGGTAGTGACATTAATCCACAAGAAGCACAACAAACTCTTCAAATAGCAGAAGCTAACTTGAATAAGGCTGAAGGCAAGAGACAAACAATTGAAGCAAATCTAGCTCTCCGGCGAGCTAGGACACGAGTAGAGGCTATCAATATGATCTCATAACAAGTTGGTGCAGCCAAAAAATAGAAAAAAGATAGAAAATTACAATAAAACAATGGTGAGTAGAAAAACTTATTAGATACCGGAATTAATGGTATCTAATAAGTTCTACCAATACCTTACCTACTATTGGATTTGAACCAATGACTCCTGCCGTATGAAAGCAATACTCTAACCACTGAGTTAAGTAGGTCATTTATCATCCTAAATAAAAAAAGTAGCTGTCTATCAGATCAATGGATTATAAATGTTATATTACTTATAAACAATACAAACGCAATATAAATCAAAGAGATTGGATCATGTCATATTTATCTTGACAAGAATTTATTTATCGAATATGATCAAATATGTATCCAAAGCACAAGGGCTATAGCTCAGTTAGGTAGAGCACCTCGTTTACACATGCGCCAATGTTTTTTCATAGGAGTCCATCATGTAATTAAAAGAGTTGATCTTAATTGATAAATCGATGTCTTACTCCCGGAACAAAATAAGAGAACAATAGCCTGACAAAGGATTTAGACGTCAAATGGAATCCATAATGGATTTGAGATATTGATACGGTGAATACTTAATCTATTCAATGCTAGGCAATGAGTCTAGGGACCTCAAAAAAAATCTCTTTTCTTCCTATCTTATGAACTTTAAGGTGTATGAAGTTTCATTTCCTATTTGATATTTTTATTGAAGTAGGTTGATAGAGAGTCCATTTAACTTAAGTTGATCCAGGCCAGAAGCAGACCTACGTCAGGATAACCTTCTTCTTTGAAAAACTTTGGTAGTGCTCTTAGATTTTGATCTAAATAAGAAATCAGAGCACAGGGAGTCATTTCCTTTTTCTTTGTGTAAAGAAAAAAGATGGTAGACTAATTGATATTTCTATCAGTTAATGAAAAAGCCCAATGCAAAAAAAATGCACGTTGGGTCTTTCAAACAATTCAAATCATTTTGATAATAATAAATAATAGTTTGATGTGTTTTACCGAGAAGGTCTACGGTTCGAGTCCGTATAGCCCTAATATTACTACCGATACTACTCAGATTTAGATTTCTTATCTAATATCTGTCATTACAAATATATATGTACTAATACTATATGTACTAGATTAGTACTATATTGAATACTCCATACTAGTAATACTACTAGTATAAATATACTTTCAATACTTTTTGTAATAGAAAGAATGAATAAAGTAATTTCTATTCGAATAGATTAATAGTGGATAGAATAATATGAGTATTAGTATACTCAGATAATAATCTCAATTTTATTAGAAAAAATGTAAACTTAAGAAAATACAAAGCATTTCTATTTAGATTCTATTAATGAATCTAAGAATTTGAAAATTTCAATTCAAATCGACTCAGAATTAATATGAATCCAGTATATTTTCCCCATTCCTAGGAGGACATTTATGTTTTTGCTTTATGAATATGATATTTTTTGGACATTTCTAATAATATCGATCTTTATTCCTATTTTGGCATTTCTAATTTCTGGAATTTTAGCTCCAATTAGGAAAGGGCCAGAAAAACTTTCTAGTTATGAATCCGGAATAGAACCGATGGGCGATGCTTGGTTACAATTTCAAATCCGTTATTATATGTTTGCTCTAGTTTTTGTTGTTTTTGATGTTGAAACAGTCTTTCTTTACCCGTGGGCAATGAGTTTTGATGTATTGGGGGTATCCGTATTTATAGAAGCTTTCATCTTCGTGCTTATCCTAATTGTTGGTTTAGTTTATGCATGGCGAAAGGGAGCATTAGAATGGTCTTAATTCTTGAATATTTAGACAATTAAACAAAACATTGAGACAGTTATGAATTCCATTGAGTTTCCCTTACTTGATCAAAAAACCAAAAATTCAGTTATTTCTACTACATTAAATGATCTTTCAAATTGGTCAAGACTATCTAGTTTATGGCCGCTTCTCTATGGTACTAGTTGTTGCTTCATTGAATTTGCTTCATTAATAGGATCGCGATTTGACTTTGATCGTTATGGACTGGTACCACGCTCTAGTCCTAGGCAGGCAGACCTCATTTTAACAGCGGGCACCGTAACTATGAAAATGGCTCCTTCTTTAGTTCGATTATATGAGCAAATGCCCGAACCAAAATATGTTATTGCTATGGGAGCCTGTACAATTACAGGAGGTATGTTCAGTACCGATTCTTATAGTACTGTTCGGGGCGTGGATAAGCTAATTCCTGTGGATGTATATTTGCCGGGCTGTCCACCTAAACCGGAAGCCGTTATAGATGCTATAACAAAACTTCGTAAGAAAATATCTCGAGAAATCTATGAAGATCAATTTAGTTATCAACGAGAGAATAGGTGTTTTACTACCAACCACAAATTTTATGTTGGACGCGGTACTCATACCGGCAATTATAATCAAGGATTATTCTATCAACCATCATCTATTTCAGAGATAACCTCTGACACATTTTTGAAATATAAAAAAGTTCAGTATCCTCCGACGAACGAAAAAGTGAATTAAACAGGATCCTTTTGTACAAAATACAATAAGAAATAGCAAGCAAGTCAATCTTCAAAAATTTCATTGTAATGTAAATAAATGGTAAATACTTATACCAATCTTATAAAAAACTCGGGAGAAGTAAAAAAATGCAAGGTAATTTGTCTGCTTGGCTAGTCAAACACGGAATAGTTCATAGATCTTTAGGTTTTGATTATCAAGGAATAGAGACTTTACAAATAAAGCCCGAGGATTGGCATTCGATTGCTGTTATTTTATATGTATATGGTTACAATTATCTACGTTCCCAATGTGCCTATGATGTAGCACCAGGAGGACTATTAGCGAGTGTCTATCATCTTACGAGAATAGAGTATAGTCTAGATCAACCCGAAGAGGTATGCATAAAAGTATTTACCCCAAGGCAAAATCCGAGAATTCCTTCTATTTTCTGGGTTTGGAAAAGTGCAGATTTTCAAGAAAGGGAATCTTATGATATGTTAGGAATCTATTATGATAATCATCCGCGTCTGAAACGTATTTTAATGCCCGAAAGTTGGATAGGATGGCCTTTGCGTAAAGATTATATCGCCCCCAATTTTTATGAAATACAAGATGCTCACTAAATGATAAAAATCAGAAAGTAATCTGAACTTCGACAACCCCAGATATTAAAGAAATATCTGTATGTACATTTTCTTTTTCTTATAGATTAGACAGAATAATAGAGGTTTCATTCCTAATCTTATTCTAGATTAGGATGGTATAAATAAGAAAATTGAGAAATAAAAAAGACAATAATATAGGGATTAATTGAGATTCCAAAATTGGATGGAGCTATACTTATTTAGGACGAGCCAATAGGATGAACTGAAAAAGTTCTGCATCATTAACTATGTAAGATGCACATCAGCATCAATTCATACCTTTTTTATTTTCATTATAGATATTTTTATTTTCATTATATATATGATATTTACAACTTTAGAGCATATATTAACTCATATATCGTTTTCCGTGATATCAATTGTTATTTCAATTCATTTGATAACCTTATTAGGCAATGAAATCGTAGGATTATATGATTTGTCCAAAAAAGCCATGATAATAAGTTTTTTCTGTGTAACGGGATTGTTAATTACTCGTTGGTTTTTTTCGGGACATTTACCATTTAGTGATTTATATGAATCCCTAATCTTTCTTTCATGGGGTTTTTCAATTTTTCATATGGTTCCTTTTTTTAAAAAGGAGAAAAACCTTTTAAGTACAATAATTGCACCAAGTGTTATTTTTACCCAAGGCTTTGCGACTTCGGGTCTTTTAACCAAAATGCATCAATCCGTAATATTAGTACCCGCTCTACAATCCCATTGGCTAATGATGCACGTAAGTATGATGATACTGGGCTATGCAGCTCTTTTATGTGGATCATTATTATCAGTGGCTATTTTAGTCATTACGTTTCAAGAAGTCATCCAAATTCTTGCTTTTACCAAGAATTTGGATTCTTTAAAAAAATCAGTTGATTTTGTTGAAATCAAATACATGAATAGGAATGAAAGAAACAATGTTTTACGAAAAACTTCTTTTTCTTCTTCTATAAATTATTACAGGTCTCAATTTATTCAACAATTGGATCGTTGGGGTTATCGTATTATTAGTCTGGGTTTTCTCTTTTTAACGATAGGTATTCTTTCAGGAGCAGTATGGGCTAACGAGGCATGGGGTTCCTATTGGAATTGGGATCCAAAGGAAACTTGGGCCTTTATTACTTGGACCATATTCGCGATTTATTTACATACTAGAAAAAATAAAAAATTAGAAGGTGTAAATTCTTCAATAGTGGCCTCTATAGGATTTCTTATAATTTGGATATGTTATTTGGGGATCAATCTATTAGGAATAGGACTACATAGTTATGGTTCATTTACATCTAATTGACTAAAAATGAGTAAAGAACCTGAGAAAGAAAAATATGGAAAGCATATAAATATATACGTTCCATAAATCGTTGAGAACCCTTTCAATCAAGTAATGTAATGATTCAAGGGGTTCTCACAAACAACAAACATATTCGATTATCATTTCAAATTTTGAAGTGAATCTAACGGAAAAA